TTTTATATTTTTTAAATAAATTATATTTAAAACATGTCTAGTTTGTAAATTTCCTTCTATCCTGTTTTATTTTTATCCAATAATAAATCATCATTCATTCATATTTTATTATTTTCATGTGTGTTCGTGTATGACATTATATAGGCGCTTAATCACGTTTAAGTTGTACTTATTTCAATTATAATTATTTTATTTATTATGGTTTAATCACAATATTATTATTATAATATAATTAATTATTAAAAACATCGGTGAATATATTAGAATTATGAAGAAAATACTGATATAACAACAATTTTGGTAAGCCAATAAATTAACCGTAAAAGGTTACGTTTGATCACAGGTGATCCAAAAGTAGGCTTTTACCTTCGACAAAGAATATCAACTGAAATTTGCCAATTCAACTGCATATCCATACATGGGTCATTAAGCCCCGCCGACCATACCTAAATGTATTATTTTAAATTATTTTTTTTTAATTTGTCTTTTTTAAATTTTATATTTTTATATAGAATATAGATATAGTATGTCAATTATAATTTTAATAGTCTTTTAAATAGTATTTTCATCATTGTTTTGTTTTATTTTATTTTTATAACTGTGCATTGAATTATTTTAAAAATAAAAGTGACAATATAATCTTTACTATCTTAAATCAATATTTGATTTGATGCTATTTCTTAGCATACAGGAGCTACCTTTTCATGGGATTGGTTCAACAAAAATTACGGATGATTCAACTGATGAAAACACAATTTATTCTTCTGGACTATTTGTAGCAATGTTTTCATACACCATCCAAAAAGATTCTGAATTAAATTTTAAGATTTATACTCAAAAATGTTCAATATACATCACCCCAGATTCAAAATATCTATTATGGTAGATATGGTGCTTGAATATATTTCAGATAAATATAACAAAAGTAAGATGACTTTTATTTGTCTTAAGTTTGATGAGACAAAAGATGCATAAGGTTGTGAAAATCTGAGCATAATTATTTGCTATATTTTTTCCGGAGAAGTCCAAGAAAATTTAATAAGAATTATTAATTTACAGTGTCTTTTTGCTGAAAGCATACTACTTGCATTTTAAAGCAACTTATTGCATATGATGGGGCAAACGTTATGTCTGGCTGGAATGAAGGAGTGCAAACCCTACTTCAAAAAAAAAATTAATAAAAAAGTTCCTTTTATACATCGCTATAACATGTTGCATCTTGTGGTTCAAAACTGGTATAATAATTTTGTTATCATTTCTATTTTTTTAATTTAACCAATGCGTTGTATAATTTTTTAAGCGCTTTTAAGTATCCTGTTGCAGGTCATACTCTTAAAAGACTTTTAGACCAGAGATGGACTGATCATTTAGAAGCATCTCGCATCATTTATGAGAATTTTGAGGCTATTGGTGAAGTATTATTTTACTTTTCTAATAAAACCCTTAATTCAGAGGTTTCCACTCATGATTCAGTCAAAGCCTCTGGTCTTTTATCTCAATACTTTAATATAAATACGTTATATTATCCACTATAATTTATGAGATATAATAACAATAGATGCACTAAATAAGTATCTACAGTCAGTAGGTACTAATCTAATGGATGCTAAAAATTGTATTGATTCCACTATCAATATATTAAAAAATAAAAATAGCAATAATTCTTTTGATTTGATTAGAATTAAGGTTGAAAAACTTTTAGCAATTAATCTCACTCCCTGTAAATCATCAAGGGTACGTAAAACGCCTATAAATTTTCGAGATTTTTTAGTCTAGATCAAATTACAATTTGATTGTGAAAAAGTCTCCAATTGGAATTGTTTAAAAAGGAATTATATTATTGATTACTTTGTGTTGATCGTTTTTTAGATAGATTTACACAAGATGACTATAATCTTCCATCATGTTTTAATACATTGTCCCCCTTTGGCCATGATTATTTTATATCGGATAAAATGGTCCGATTAGAATCATTATTAAACTTATATGGAAACATTACATCATGAAATGTAAATAGCTGCAAAGAGAAACACATAATTTTGAAAATATCCTAAATATTTAGTATAAAAAATAGCATCATGCATTTAAAGAATTGTATAAATGCTACTCAGCAGCCATCATCATTAGGGTACTTACGGCTGTGTGGCCTCTTTCTCTACAATAAAGAGAGTTCTATCAAGCACTAGAGAGTCGATGAAAAATCAACGCCAGCTAAATTTAGTATTGATGGCTTCTGAAAAAAATAACACAAAATTTATCCATTAATTCAGTTATGTTAAAATCAGGGTTGGCAAGTCGGTCAATTGACCAGTCAAATTCAGTCAATTGACCGGTCAATTGACCGGAGGAGTATTTGACCTGTCAAATACGGTCAAATACTCTAAAAAATTTAAAGGAAAAATAAATTAAAAATATGTTTAAAAAAGGGAAAAAAGATGTAAATACATGTGATCACAATGTTTGCTTATTTTTCGGGTCCACAATATCAAGAGGAGAACTTACTAGTAGTGTAATTAATGAAGTATGTGATATAATTCAAGAATTAGCTATTTTACAAGGTAGTGATGACCAAAATATTTTAAGTGATATAATTAATTTCAGAAGCAAAAACAGCATGTTTAATAGAGCAAAATATGTGGAAAGTAGTAATTTCCAGAAACAATCAATTCCGACCTCAAGTTAATAGATTAAACTTTGTCTACCCTGCCCATTAAGAGACTAACAATTCCTAGTTCTACTTCTTCTTTAGAAAGAAATAGTGGGTTAGTATTCTTATGAAAATAGAAATCGATTTAAGATCTAAGATATCAGGAAAATTGTTTAAAAAATATTAAAGAAAATGATAATATTGAATATGAATCAGAACAAGACTCTGATACAGATAGCTACACGTTAGTTATTGAATGAATTTAAAAAATTAATATTATAGATTCATTTTACTATTATATTCAAAATAAAGTTAATATTAACTTTAAAAAAATATATTTGAATTTGACCACATTTGACCGTATTTGACCATATTTGGCCGGTCAAATATCGGTCAATTGACCGAAACGTATTTGACCGGTCAAATGCACAACCCTGGTTAAAATTAAAAAATAAAAATCGTAGTATTATATTATAGTATTATTTTGTATTCATACTACATGTACATTAATAAATTTTTAATAAAAAATTTCTATGAATGTTTAATTATTTGTTTTATTTTAAAAAATAGTGACCCCCTTGCTGAAAATTCCTGGCTACGGCCCTGTAAAATTTAGACAAAAATTATTTCAGACAATATAAGATTTTTTTTATAATTTTATAAATTTGATTTATAATTTAGATAAAGAATCATATTTAAATAAATAAAATGAATAATGGGGATCTGTTATATTTGAAAATTTTATTTTGTGACCCTAGGCCAGGTTTTAATCGTTTTCCTCTCGACATCCCCTATATTAAAACAATTTTAAGGCTGACCCTATCTTGGATCCGGTCCAAGCCTGTTGATCTATAAATATAATAAAAAGGTATAATTACACAGAAAATGAGAAAACACCCTGAATATTATTAACAGTGTAAATATATTAGAGATCGGTAAAGTCCGAACTACTGGTAGGTCGAAAAAGATTCTTAGATCCAACTTGGTGAAAAGGTTTTTGCAGGGTCGGACAAATTGTTCAAAATATTTTTACGGGCAGAGCTGTTGAAAATGTTTTAGAAAATTAAGGAAAAATTATATCGTTTCCTTTTATGGAAAATTATTCCGAGTCGGGGGTTCACACTGGGGCATTCCGATCTTTAATATATACATTATAAAAATATCGTCTTATTAATATTTAGAAATTGTAATAAATATTTTGGGGATTTCTGTCCATATTTTTTCATTTAAATTGAATCTCTTTTCTAATTAATAGAACTTTTAATTAGCAAATATAAACATGAGAATAAAAATAAATATATTCCTTAACATTTTTTTTAATTTTCAAATCATAAACAACCATATTTGTTTATTGTATATAGCAATCTTATAATAATATCAAATATCGTTCTTCATCCTAATTAAAAAATATTGTTTAAAATATAAGCTAAAATAATACTTATAATATTTAACATTTTTAATTAAGAAATTCTGTTATTCCCCCCCCCCCCCCTAAATATGTGCAAATACAAATCAATGTTCAAAATCAATATTAAAATTATATTTGCAATATATATTAAAAAAAATTGTTTTATTTCATAAGAGGTTTCTAAAAAAGAAAGATAGGTCACAATTTATAAATATATTACAAAAAAAATATATATTGAAAGTAAGGCAACAAATGCTATAATAATAAAATTAATTTCTTCTAAATTATAATTATTATTTTCTACTGCTCTCATCTCTCTTAAACTATCCTCACATCTTAACAAATATAATATTTTAAAAATCTGTCTTATTAGCAGAATCATTACGAAACCGAGCAAGGTAATAGCAAGTTCAAATAATATAAATTTATATCGATCTACGAAAAGCCTTTTCTCTTGCTAGAGCAACTTTTAGGATTAGTATTCAAGTTAAACCTTTAGGTACCTCATTGCTCATATTAAGCAAGTTTTTAAAATTATGATTGATAATGTAAATACGGTTATATAATATTTTATAACCTAAATGATATTTATTTAATTTAAAAAAAAATTAAATAATACACTTTACGTTTTATTTATCGCCGCATTTATTTTCTATAAAACAACCTTTTTCAATAACTTCATTTTTCACTCAAAGATTAGATTTTGCTCTCGTGAAATTTTTACATAAAGTATCCACCTAATAAATAGCCTTAAGTTAGAAAGCAAAAATATAATATAAAAGAAATTTTGTGCTTAATTATCTATTATATTATTATGGGAAATAATAATAAATAAAAATAACTCAAAAATTTTATAAACTTACTAATTTTCTTTTTGAAAAATAATAAAGATAAATTTGAATAATCGCAAAAATGGCATAGCATAATTTAAAAAAAAGCTACCAAATGCTATTAATACGTTTAATTTTTTGGGTCTGTTACATAAGTTCAAGTCTAAATGATTTAATCGTCTCTGAGTGCCCATCCCAAATTATTACGGATAATATTTGCAAATGCCATTATTCCAAAGTGTGTACTTATCCTGATCAACGGGCGTGCTTCCTCATGCACTGTACTCAACTGGCAAATGAATCGAGCTTGACAAGGCAATTAAAAAGGTTAGAACCTTTCGATATACCCATAGACCTGATAATCAGTTCTACAACTTTATCTTATTTTGGATACAACAGCTCGGAATGGTCAAATTTTAAGGTAGCCGGCCTGAGGATGTATCACAACAATATATCCAACCTTTCTGAAACAGCCTTTAAAAGTTTGTCATTCAATTTGCGTCATTTTTCTATAATGGAAAACGCTCATTCTGAGGCCACAAGGACGATCGATTTTAGGGGGGTAATGAGATCACTCAAATGGCTACCCCATTTGGACGATATATTCATATCCGTATACCGAATAGAACAATTAGATTTCAACGCCTTTAAATATTTTATGAACTTGAGCTCCCTTTCTATCATAACATCGCATTTAGACAACATGATCGGACCCAACTCCCACGAATTCACTAGTTTGACTAGCCTCATGTTGCACTCCAATATAGATCATTTTCCAAATTATGTATTCTGGCAAATGCCTAACCTCAAAAATATAGTTTTCGTCTCCAAAAATTTAGCTATCATCGAGAAGAAAGATTTCTCTACTCTTTCTTTAAAATGGTTGGAGAAATTGACAATATCTTATACTTCTGTTGAAACTATTGAGAATAAGGCATTTGAGTCTCTTTACAATCTTAAACAATTGTCTTTACAAGAAAACTCTATACAAAATTTGGCTGAAAACAGTTTTGCAAACCTAACTAAGTTGGAAGTCTTAGACCTCTCGTCTAATAAATTAACCTATATTCAATCCAGAATGTTCAATGATTTGGTGTCTCTAAAAATCCTAAAACTAAACAAAAATCAAATAGGACCTTATTTAGATGTCTCGGCCCTCATGCCCTTTCATTCTACCTTACAAATATTATATTTAGGTAACAATAAACTGCAAAATATACCGTTATTTGAACATGGTACCTACATGTTTCCTGGATTGATTAGGATGGACTTGTCCTACAATCAAATAACTTCTACGCCTTTTATTTCACCAAAAGATACATCTAAAAGCATCATTCCTGTTAACCTCACAACCTTAGATCTTTCGCATAACATAATATCGAATGTGTCACGTGCGTTTTTACAAATATTCACCCATTCCTTGAATAAATTAGACTTATCTTCAAATGTAATAACTAATTTCTCGTTTGATTTCTTCGAAAATTATGACAATTTGACGCACTTAGATGTTAGTGACAATCAAATCTCCTCTATGGATTCAATAGATGCCCTATACAGCCACGGTTCTTACCTAAAATTTATTGGACTTAAAGGTTAAACTATAAAGATTCTTCTAACTTAAGTATATTGATTATTTGCTTGATTAACTTGCAAGCGTATCCGGAATTTTTATAAAGCCTTTTAAAGTGTAATCAGTTTTTTCATTAGACCCTCAAAGGTGTAGGAGGGTAGTTTGATTTTATGAGATTTTTTGACGCAATCTCTTCAAGATGGGGATAATTTAATTATCAAAATCATTTTTATATAAACTATAACATAATCCAATATATTATCAGCCCTCTTTCCATTAGAAAATTTAATATAAATATTGGTTAGAATCAGGGATCCAAACCGAAACGAATATCGGTTCAGGTTCGGATAAAAATAACGGTTCAGGTTCTGTTCGTAAAAAATTAAAACTCTAAAAATCGGTTTGAACACTTTTGTATTCAAACCTACATTCGAATTATGTAGAGGGAAAATATTTTTTTTATTTTATCATTAATTTAAATAACACACGTATAAAACTTTCATTTTTATTAATTGTACATTATAAAATAATATTTAATTTATAAAAATAAAAATCAATAATTAATTTTAATATAAACAATATTTTACTTTTTTTTACTTAAATTTTTTTTATTAAGCCGGACAATTAATACATTTTCAAAATTCGTCTCACTCAAATTACATCTATAAGGAGATAGTATAAATTTAATTGTTGAAAAACATCTTTCCACACTAACTTGAGCCGACACTGCCAATATTATATCAGATTTGATGTGTCATTTATAATATTTTGGATTTAATTTTTCTCTAAGCATTATCATTTATAAGCTTAAAGTATTTAAAAAATGTTGTAAAATGACAATATACTAAAGTTTATAAAAATTATGACCGACACTTATCAATCAAATGTGATTGATGCTAATTTTAAAATAATTCGGATATAATTGAAATTTTTCAGTATACTAATAATAATTTACATATTATTTTATAAGAATAAAATCATGAGGCTTGAACAGGTTCAGAAGCATTTTAGCGGTTCGGTTTAGGTTCAGCTAGGAATTTTTTTAGCGGTTTAGGTTCAGTTCTGGTTCGATAAAAAATACCGGTTTTTAGCGGTTTAACGGTTCAGGTTCGGTTTGGATCCCTGGTTAGAATAATAAATACAAAAATTTCATATTAGCTGTATTCTTTCTTCAGCCATTTCTAGTTATAATCAACTGGTTGTTACTAACCGTAATTGAAAAATGTGCCTATACTTCTTAGTAATTCTCTTTTTTTTAAAAATAAAATTCGAAATAATTTTATTTTGAAATGATTTATAAAATTATATATTTTTTATGAAATATAATATTTTTGCATTATTTTCTGCAACTCTTTTAAAAATATATTTGATACAATCAAGCTTATTTTTACGAAATTTAACGATTTTGATTGCGATTTAATTGAGATTTTCAAAAATATTTAGAAGATGTGGGGGGGGAGAGGTTATTTTCTGCTTCGTTGAGACTCAGGGGGTAATCTTCCAGGCATAGGCATTTACAGGATTTTTCTAAGGGGGGGGCTATTAATTGGGATTTCCTGCCATGAATTTTATTGTATGATTCATTTTGGGAACACAATTATTAAATCTATAATTAAATATGCTTTTTAGATTAACAATGCCAGTAAATATATCCTTTTAATTTTCATTTAATCAGGATATTTTGTTAGAAAAAGTTTTAAAAAAATTCCATGCTTTTCCTCCCCATGATCTAGATTTGAGGATTTAAGAGTATAATCGACAAAGCAATCAATATCAAAAATTTTATTCGTTTTAATTTGATATGCATATTAAACTATTATGTTATGTTTGACCCATCCCCATATGATCGAGTGATGATTAACAAAATAGTTTTTTAAATATTTATTTTGATACCCTTCTTAATATATTATATTTTAAAATCGCTTCCCAGGAGCTAGACCAACTTTGAATGGTCATTAACAAGGCAATCAATAGATCTTTTTATTAGTTCCCTTGTAATTACCATCCTCCAATTTTTTTTTTTCAAAATAAGTTTTTGAAATCCTCTCCTCCCTCTCCTCATGAACTTGAGCTAAACTTCCCAGAACTTCGAGAGATGGTTAACAGATCAGTTAAAGGTCTTTTTATTAACTTTCATTTGTTACAAGATATTTCATTTCAAATATAACCCCCACCCCTCCCTACTTAGACCTAGAATGATATCGACAATTTAATCAATAAATTTTATTAGCTTTCATTACACATATCGAAATATCTTGTTAAACCGATCACTCTAAGAGCTATAGTAATGATTAATAAAGCGGTCAAAAAATCGCTTTATTGGCGTTCTGATACCCAAATTGAAAAATTGCTATAAAAATTTTAAATAACAAACCTAACCCTCGAGGTTTAATTTTTCCTAGGGGTGTACCGATACCACTTTTTGGAGGCCGATCCGATCCGATATTTCAGATATTAAATTGATATCGGCCGATAACCGATCCGATATTATATCTAATTTTGTATTCTGCAAAGATACCGGTTTTAATTTTTAATATACTTTTTATTAGTACAACATCTATAATTTTACTATACCATAACATATGTCATTTAAATATATTATAATGGTCAGTTATAGTTTATATTCAATTCAATTGCTATTATTTATATAATAAGTAATAACTTTAATCTATTTACATAATTAGTAATAAAAAAATATATTATGAAATTTGAAATTAATATTTAAAATTAATATATCGAAGATTTCTTTTTATATCAGAGATATGTCGGCGGTGATGGGGACTGTTAATATCACTAGCATCACTAAAAACAGATACTGAAGAGATTAATAAACACTTTTTTAAACAGAATGCGAAAAAAAATAACTATATTGCAGAATGTTTATTAACTAATTATTTCTATTAAAAAAATTAAACATAAAAATGTATTTCGATTTTATTTATAAAAATAAATGGTTTTTTAGATATAATTTTTTTTAAATTTTGTTAAAAGCGCCATTTTATATCGGATCTGAAAATTTTATAATATTTGCCGATAACCGATATTTTAAAATGAGCGAAATATCGGCCCGATCCGATCCGATATAAAATATCGGTACATCCCTAATTTTTCCCATCAAAAAATAATGTAATATAAGTTAAATAGATTAAAAATAAAATTTTTAAAAGCGATCGTAATTAAAAGTTCAAATGAAATACATTTTTGCGCTGTCTTTATGGGAAAAAATAATTGAGGTAAAAAGCTGTGATTTGTCTTCCTCTACCTCATCCTTTTTTCTACTCTACCTGCTTAAATACCTACCCCCCCCCCCCTCCACCCACCAGGAATATATGAATCCTTATATAGAAATAAAATATAAAAAAAATTTATTTCAAGAAGAATTTTAAAAAAGCAACTTTTCTCCACCCTTATTTTAATATATTATATATTATCTCTTTTAAAAATGTATCTTGTGTCTTAAATGTATTTTTTAAGGGAAATTTTATCATATCTCGTATTATTTGATTTTTTTACCAAGTATCTTAAATTTTCAATACAAAACTTTGAAAAATGTATTCTGTATTCGAAAACAATTTTCGAAAGATTTGCCCAACCCCTAACAAACACCAAATTACTTTAATAAAATCAATTTATAACTGTTAAATATTATATAAATAATCGCTTTAGTTATGTGTTTTTTATAACAAATCGAACGATAAAGACCAAGCATTATGCGCGTAGTCAGTATCCCCCCCCAGCATATTTTTTTGAAAAATATAAAAGGTTTCATGAATTGTGAAATGAAGGTTATATATACTATAATAAATTTTAGCAAAAAGTTAAAATTAATTTATTTATTTCTTCCTTTATCAATACTTTTTTCTATAAAAATTTGAAGCATATTTTCTTAAAATGTTTTAAACCTTAAACATTGATGGATATAAGAAAATTAACAAACAAAAACTTAAAATAATATAATTTTAGTATAAAAAAAATTAGGGCTGTACCGATATTAAATATCGGATAGGGCCGATACCTGTAGAAAAACCGATCCGATTCTTTTCTTTTTTTTGTTATTTTATTTTATGTTATATATATTAATTTTACATTATTATAATATTTATAAATAATTTTTTAAAATTTTATTTCTTTTTTAAAATAGATTTATAGTATTTTAAAAGTTTTTTTTTATAAAAATAGAAAGGAACACCCAAATTTTTATTTATTTTAAATCTTTTTAAATAACGCCAATTTTTTTTATTTATACTTTAAATAAAAGAATTTTTTTAAATATGGTATCTGAATTTTGGAAATATTTTACAAAGACAAAGATAATTTTGCAAAATGCGTTATCTGAGATAATCTGGGTCTGCCTTCAGTACGGCATGAGATATAGATAGTCCATATCGTAGAAGCTTATTTCCAGAAAATCTAGAGGCTCTCATATTTATTAAAAAAATCTAATATATTATAATTTTATATATTAAATATTACAATTTTATAATTCCAACATAAAAAGGATATATTATTATATATATATTTTTTATTATAGTCTTAATTGTAGAAATAAAAAAATTAAATTATTCATAATTCGATTTTTTGCATAAAAAATATTGATTTCTTAATTACATTTGGTTCAAACGGGGTTAAAAATCAGTAAAAATATCGAATCGGCATCGGATCGGTTTTGAAGCAATATCGGAAAATATCGGATCGGTGAAAAATATGTGGATCGGCACAGCCCTAAAAAATAAATAATCCAATATCAGAAATCATATTAACTGATTATTCATCTACTTATTCGGATGCACACATTATTAGATTCAAAAGGGCAGCCGATTTTTTTTGCATTGGAATACGTGTTAATAAATAATTTAATTACACAACAATTTTATGCAATTC